GCATATGTGATCTCAGAACCACTGAACTATATTTTTCAAAGATCCTGGAGCACAGGGGAACTACCAGAGGACTGGAAAAGAGCTGATGTAGTTCCCATCTACAAAAAAGGGAAAAAAATGGACCCAGGAAATTACAGACCTATCAGCCTGACCTCAATACCTGGGAAGATCCTGGAAAAGATAATCAAACAATGAATCACCGAACACCTAGAGGCAAACAAAGTCATTACTAAAAGCCAACATGGGTTTGTCAAAAATAGGTCATGCCAGACAAATCTCATTGCATTCTTTGACCAAGTGACAAAATTAGTGGATGAGAGGAATGCTGTGGACATAATTTACTTGGACTTCAGTAAGGCATTTGATAAAGTAGATCACAACCTACTACTTGACAAGATAGAAAAATGTGGGGTAGACGGCATCACCACCAGATGGATCCGTAGCTGGCTGACTGGCCGTACTCAGCGTGTGGTCCTCAATGGAACCGCATCTACATGGAGGGAAGTGTGTAATGGGGTGCCCCAGGGCTCTATTCTGGGCCCAGTGCTCTTCAACATCTTCATCAACGATTTGGATGAGGGGATAGATAGGGAACTCATCAAATTTGCAGACGACACCAAGCTGGCAGGAATAGCCAACACTCCAGAAGACAGGCTTAAGATACAGAAGGATCTGGACAGACTTGAACTCTGGGCACTATCTAACAAAATGAAATTCAATGGTGAAAAAAGCAAGGTTCTACATTTAGGCAAGAAAAACCAAATGCACAGGTATAGTATAGGGCAGGGGTAGGCAACCTCGGCTCTTTTATGACTCATGGACTTCAACTCCCAGAATTCCTGAGTCAGCTATGCTGACTCAGGAATTCTGGGAGTTGAAGTCCATGAGTCATAAAAGAGCCGAGGTTGCCTACCCCTGGTATAGGGGGTACCTTGCTCAATAGCAGTAACTGTGAGAGGGACCTCGGAGTCCTAGTGGACAATCACCTAAATATGAGCCAGCAGTGTGCTGCAGCTGCCAAAAAGGCCAACACAGTGCTAGGCTGCATTAACAGAGGGATAGAATCAAGATCACGTGAAGTGTTAATACCACTTTACAATGCCTTGGTAAGGTTTTAGTCACCGCGATGCAAAAAAGATGCTGAGACTCTAGAAAAAGTACAGAGAAGAGCATCAAAGATGATTAGGGGACTGGAGGCTAAAGCATATAAGGAACGGCTGCTGGAATTGGGTATGTCTAGTTTAATGAAGAGAAGGACGAGGGGGGACATGATAGCAGTGTTCCAATATCTCAGGGGCTGCCACAAAGAAGAGGGAGTCAAGCTATTTTCCAAGGTGCCTGAAGGCAGGACAAGAAGCAACGGGTGGAAACTAAGCAAGGAGAGAAGCAACCTAGAACTAAGGAGAAACTTCCTGACAGTTAGAACAATTAACCAGTGGAACAACCTGCCTCCAGAAGCGGTGAATGCTCCAACACTGGAAGTTTTCAAGAAGAGACTGGACAGCCATTTGTCTGAAATGGTATAGGGTTTCCTGCCTAAGCAGGGGGTTGGACTAGATGACCTCCAAGGTCCCTTCCAACTTTATTATTATTATTATTATTATTATTATTATTATTATTATTATTATTATTATTATTATTATTATTATTATTATCTCTGAGATTTTTTTTCTCCTACCTTTGTTTATTTTAATGCTTTACCATTTCTTCTTACTGCATCACAAGTTAAATATGTTTCAGTGTTTGTCTTTTTTTTGTCAGTTGAAGCAAATAGGCCAGCAATCCAGAGTGAATGTATCATTCTCCAGCATGAGGATGGATAATCCACAGATTGGGTTTCCTAAAGTCCCTTCTACCCAATTAGACTAAGTCTGAGAGATAGCCATGCCTCTTGCTGGGTCACGTTTAGCCAGTTCCGACTTAGTCTTTTACCCAGACAAGACACGTTGGTGCTTCTCTCCAGACTCAGGTTTTATTAAATAAATTTGATTTCCCTCTTTTCCTATCGGTGGATTATCCTAACCTCCTCTTTATTTTCCTTTTAAAAAAAAAAGACTTGTATTTTTTCCTGTGCCTTTTTCTCGGGTCCTCCCCTCCCCTCCGACTCCGTTCTTTTGCTTGCTTCCCCCGGCTGTTGCAGCCTCTGCACGAGGCTTCTGTTTTCTCTAGTTGAGTGTTCAGGGCTTTGGGCAACTTGTACCCTCAGCACGAAGTTTTTTTTTATTTACCTTTGGTATTTTTTCGGAGTTTTTGCGGAGTGCGGAGCCTTCCATTCGATCCAGCTGGTTGGCGGATCTTCGTGCAGGTCCAGGACGACGGCAATTCGCCCCGGACTGTTCAAGAATTGGTGGGAGGCGGACTTCCGGTTTGAGTTCCTGTGCCGATGGCGGCGTTCTTGTTCGCCGCCTGCTCCGAGGACGCGTAAAAGCCGCAGGAGCAGCGTCAAACAGCTGCTCCGCGGCTTGAATCCCCTTCCCGGGCAAAGGGGAGGGGAGAGAGCTTCCCAGATAGGGGTAGAACTACTGAGCTCCCACAGTTTTACAGCTGTGGGGGTGGAAGTGAGTTCCCCCGGAGTCAGGGATTTTTCTCCGCGCTT